ATCCGATATGTAATGCATTTTTAATTAGTTTAAATACACACGTTTTATTAAAACATACAATGACGAGTTCCCTTTGACTGTATATCGCCACCTTCTATCAAGTGAATGTAAGTTCTGGAACTTAAATAATCGAATAATTGCTAGCTAAGATAAAAGAATCAAAAGCCGATTTTAAAATACCAAAGTATTTGCCTTCAATAGACATTTCGGCAACGTACGTTCCTCTCGTCAGACAATGCAATCCAATGATGACGTCACTCGGGAATGTGACCCTCGAAATGGACGCCTCCCAGGTGGTGGTCGTTGGCTGACGTCCGGTGAGGAAGGGGAAACGGCTGCCGAATGCCACCGGCTGACTGTCGCCGGCTGACCAGTCTGGATGTCTGTCGACGACTGTGCGTTAGTCGTGTGAGGCGGCGGGAGGCGGTGAAACTGTTCACCAAACAGCTCAGCTGTGTAAACACATACAGGGCTGAAGTGGCATCGTTGCGCCCGCGCGCAAGTGTTCCAAGGACGTACAAATGTCGTCGTCTCCTCGGCAACACCCGGCGCCGTAAGCGCCGTCCAAAATCACCGGATCCATTTCGCTCACCTCGGTGGCTGGCTTCCACCGGCTGGTTGCCCTCGGTGGACGGCCGTCGCTATTGTTGTCTTAATTCGTTACTCGACACCCTTTAAAATGCCGACTGAAAAGTAACCAGTACGACTTTGATCAGTTAATCGTAGGATGGCGTAAAGAGTGATTCTCAGGCATGTCCAACAGGTGCTTCATCGTTCTATATCTTCCTCACGGATACTTCACCGAGGTCAAGTTTTACCATTGCTGAGTTATTTTATAAACATTAATTTTTTCCACGTAGGACGTTAAGAAACGAATCATGTCTTTTTGTATGACATTCATAGCAGGATGTCAAAAGGTTCGCCTACCTCATCTTTTTTCCACAAACTCTCAGATCAAAACCCACATGATTTTACATTTGCTTGCAAGAAATTAAACAAGCGTCCTAGCTTGCTGATTTCTGATTACTGTACTGTCATGCTCAGGCATTAAAGATTTCTTCAAAGGGCCTCATATTGCGCGAGGAGACAGAGATCTGCAGGAGTTCTGCATGGCAGTTCACTTTTTAGGTTGTGGTGGTACAGTGGCATAAAGTCAACACTGAACCTCGAAAGTGCCGGGTTAGAATCTGCGGAAGGGGCAATCTTTGTCTTAACGTGAATTGC